TTGTGCTAAAATACATGTTAAAAAATTTCTTATTAATAAATCATTCCTTTATTTAATAATGAGTAATAATTCATTTATACACAAGTTTTATTTATTATACTGACATAAAATCTCAATTATTTATCTTTTTATTATTAATAGTTGAAATTAATTTATTTTTATCATATTTATTAAAAATAATTATTTTTTATTTAAAAAATTATGATATATTATAATTATTAAAAATAATTAATTAATTAAAATTTTATATAAATATAATATATAAAATTTAAATATAAATAGATATTTATTTTTTTTAATTAAAAAAATCCAAAGATTTCAGTAGCAGCAAATATAATAATCGTATTATCATGAACAGTGAAGGACAACAGATGGCGGTGATGTGGACTGCGCGTGGGGCTGAACTGAATCCTCGATTCAAATTTCTCGTGAGGTCCATCCAAATGCCAAAGCCTGTACCCTGCAAAGGCTGCACTCACCACAGGGTATCTGTTAGCCTGTACTGTACTCTAAACTAAGACCGACTTTTCTTTTTGCAGATATATATTAATTCTTAATCATCTTTAGGCTTTATTTCAAATTCGTTCTCAACGTTTTACAATTGAGCGATTAGATCCTTAATTAGAATTTTAGTGTTTCACAATATAGTTTTCTTTTTTGTCCATTAATTCCATAAAATTATACCAAAGAATGAAAATCTATTGTTTTTATATCACCACGTAGACTCTTGAAAAACATAGCCTTTGCCTTCTTCTTTTTTTTTCTATATTGTAATATAATAAAGATTCACACTTAATAATTTTAATACAAAAAATTTAAATTTTTAATCATTGAAGCATCCTATTGTAAAGAACAACAAATTTTCACCCTTTTTGAGGCAAAATAAAGCCTCTATAACTGAAAATATACAAATGTTTGCTGGACAAATAGATTCATTATAGTATTTCTTGTGGATTGATGTATAATCCAACATTAACCAGTGTTTTTTATTATTAGAGTGCTTTTTGTAGTTTAGATTGAATTTGATGTCTAGAAAACAATACCAAAATCAAAATATTGTTAGTTTTTCACAATCTTGTCTAGTCTTAATTATACAAAATATTTTTATTTTTATTAAGGTCTTAACCCAAAATAATGGAAGTTTAGTACTCATCGTACTAATTGTCACTAAACACTTTTTTTTAAAATTTTGATTTTGAATTATACAATGAAAATTTATTTTTTTTTATCCTTCAATTAATTCTTCTTACATATTATACAACTCAAATTTGGATATTTTTATTTTAAAACGAAGTTACTATTGAATTATTTAAATCTTTAGTTACTAAACACAATTTTAATGGAGGGAAAACATTGTGTTGGAAATTTTAATAGGGTAAAGGATCCAAGTACTCTTTTTTTTTTTTTTTTATCTTTGTATTTTTCCATAGAAGGATCCAAGCACTATAAGTTAAAAGTTCAATACAATTTTGCAAGAAATTTTAAAACTTTGTGGACTAGATTTCATATTGACCTTTTTTTATTATTATATATATTATAGAGTATTCTACAGTCCACACATACCCTCTCACGTGCTTCCTCTGTATTCCCCTATGTAAACAATTCCCTTATAAAAAAACAGATATACGTACAAGATGAAAACTGCATCAATAGAAAAAGCAGTTTCTTTCCTTCTTCCTTTTTTCCCCTGCTTACACTGAAACACCGTTTTCATTTTCAGTCCCCTAAAACCAAGTGCAAAGCTCTCCCTTTTATCCCTTATAAAACCCCATCATCATAAACCTAAATCCAAACCCTTTTTTCTCTTGGATTCTCTCCTTTCCTCTCATTTTCTTTGCCCACAAACACCCACCCACCCACATGGAAGCTCTCAACTTTCTCATGTTTTGGAGACCCACTTACTGCCCCCAGAAAGAGACCCAAAACAGAGAGATTCCAAATCCTTCCATGGAATCTGAGGAAGGAGACGAGTCCTTCTTCGACTTGGAGCTTTCTATGGATGATCACGTCTGCCCAGATTCCGGTGAAGGGAAACCGGTTAAGAGTGTCGGCGGTAATGAGTTGATCAGCTTTCTCCGGCCGACCCTTTCGCTGTCTCCTGGGGATCATTTCTCCAAAAGAAAAGTCATGCCCATTGAGCCCTGCTCCAAGCCTCAATCGCCTATTGCTCTTTTGAAGTCATCACCCAAGTTCCGGGTTTTTACTCTCAGGAAGTCGACGAAATCAATGGCGACAATGGAGAAATCAGAGAAGACGGAGCTGACTAGAGTTTTGAAGGAGACTCTGAAGCATGAGAAGCAAGGAAGTACGAATCTTCCAATATTCAGCAGAGGAAACAGTTTGAGGAAAACAGAAGGAATTTCTCAGAAGCAGAAAACAGAGGAATTATTCCGGGACGATTCCTCGAAGAGATTCTCCAAAGATGTGATTCAGAAATACTTGAATAGATTTAAAGTGTCAAAAACGCAAACCGACAAGTTAAAATTCTCCAGTGACATAACAATGCCATCTCCGGCGTCTTCTCCGGCAGCGGTGCATTCTTCAAAAGAGAAACAGGGCAACATGCCAGCTGGGATCCTGGGGGTGTACAAGCACTTGGGCAAGAGCAGATCAGCCTCTGCCACGGCGTCTCCGGTGAGTCGGAGAGATGATTCCTTGCTGCTGCAGCATGATGGGATCCAGAGCGCCATTCTTCATTGCAAGAAGTCTTTCAACTCATCACGAGGTATTGAATCACTTCAAAATCTTCTGATTTTTTGGGTTAAATCTCGGTAACCCAGTTTTAATCGTTTATTTTTCTTGATTTCAGAAGCTGCTTCATTCTTTTCAAGTGATTCTTCTCTTGAGAAATTAAGCAACGCATCTTCTACAGGTACAGTTTACATCCTTATTTTTTAAACTCTAAACTCTGCTTACTTATCCTTAAGTTAAACTTAGTCTTTATTTTTTTTTTTTTTATTACACAGATTCTTCTATGTTATCAAGAAATTCAAGCGATTCTGCCTTCGAGAAACTCGGGTGAGGAAGGAAATGGGTTCAAGATTTGAATCAAAACCTTCTCTGTTTCAATTGAAGAAGGCGGGAAACACAGTTTCTTACGAATGCTTAAGGAGTTGTTGGGAGAGGTAGGGTGGTTTGAGATTTTTGATTGATGTAAAGGAGGAAAAGGGAATGCTGGATGTGGATGTTGAATGTTAGTTGTAGGTTATGATGGGAGAAGTGAATAGAGTAGGGTAGGAATCACTTGTAAAGTTGATGGGTCATAATGAAAAACTTGAAAGAAAACTCTGTTTTGTATCCTTGTGTTTGTGTGTTTGTTGGGCAGTTTTGACTAGTACACTGCAATTGTAAAATTTGGGTTTTGCAATGTTCACGTCAAAAAGATGTGCCATAAAATGTTATCAGTATGATGTTATCATATCTGAAACGATTTGAGGGTAAGTAACTTCTATCTAGCAGAAGACCAGAAGATGAACTTTTTCTTTTTTTGTTTTAATCATACCTCTAACCGTTTTTCAGGAAATGTTATGAAAACCAATGTCTAGCTCGCAACTTTGTCAAAGGACCTTAATAATGGAACGACTTATTACGGAGTCGTTGGGGTAGGTAAAAAGAACTTTTTAAATAAAAATTTGAAAAATTTTAAGTTTGAATTTTGTAAATGAAAAAGAAATATTAAATTTTTTTTATTGAATTTAATATAGTTTGATGTTAAATTAGTTAAAATTTAATATACTTTAATATAATTTTTAAATATTAAAAGTTTATTAAAAAAATAATAATAATGGAACCAATCCTAGGACCTTATTTCCAAAACAATGGCACCAATCTTGGAAGACATGTTGGACTAATCTTGATCCAACTCTTTAACAAAGGTTAACTTTGAAGAAATGTCGATTTTTGCGTGGTAAACATTTTTCTTGTATTTTTGGGTTTAGATGTAAGAGTTTCTAGCTTTAGTTGCACATAGTTTTAAATTAATTTTTTTAAATCATATTTTATAATTTGAACTGTATTAAATTATAAAAAAAATTATTGAATGAAAAAAGAGTCTTTAATATCAAGAGATCTACCTTAATCCAATGTTAGTGTTGGGCAATTTGAATTATACTAGACTTTTTCGTTTCATTTTATTTTAGTTAACAATAAATCATCTAAGTTGAGATTTAAAGATTTATAAAAAGTTATCTTTTTATTAGATTCCTCAGATAATCAAATATTTGTCAAGTACTGAGAAAATCCTCTTACAAACTTATGTTTAGCTGACAAAGGGACAATCTGCTTAGTTTAGTCTCCGGTTAAACGACTATATAAGCACGTTGGATAGGTGTATTAGGTTTTTCTCGTTCTTTCCTTTATTTATTTCTTTCTTTCTTTTGAAAGAAGGCAACTATTAGTCCAATATCTTGCTAGAGGGGGAGGGGGAACAGGTTGGCGCTGGTTAGAACGCTAGTCCCAGCAGTGATGTTCCCACTAGGGGAAGCCACCTTAACTGGAGCGTGGGGGACGGAACGGATGGATGTCATAGTTTTACTAGGTATCTTACGTTCACATGGATAATTTATTTTTGTAAAAAATTACTAATCTTTTATTTTATTAACTTACTAATTTTTAAAAAATATATATATATTATCTATAAAGAGGTGGTTCAATGATAACTTAAAATATCAAATTAGAAATCTCAAGTTTAAATTTTGAATTAGATCAAAATGGATTTAAAGAAAGAGGATGATTATTTTTTTTTATAACTCATTATTATTAAATCTACCAAATACATATATATTGTTAGAATCTGTTTGGTTGAAGTGGATGGAAGGAAGAAGGACTAAGAAACTTTAGATGGATTTGGGTAAGAAAACTTTATTATTATTATTATTATTTTCTCATTTCTTTTGTTCATTTCAAACGTGTGGGAAGAGGAAGAGAAAGAAATGGAAGGATATTGTTATCTCTTCATTTTTTTCTTCTTTTCTTTATTTCTTATAAGTCCAAATTTTACTATCTATTAACTATATATTATGTAACTTAAACTACATTAAAATACATAATATTAATCATTAAATGGAAGTAAGTGAGCTTATATTGGGAATCCTCCCAATTCAATAATTTTTATTTTTTAATTTAGTATAATTCAAAGTACATAATAAGAAACTCTTTTATTAATTAGATTATTTATAATCACAAAAGTAGAAGTCTCTAATAGTCATCTTCTTTTTGTGGAACTTGAAGGCAACACTAATAGTTGTATTCTTGTAAGATATTAAGAGTTCATAATTATACAAGTGTGTAAATTTAGAGCTTAAACTGTTTATTTCTACTTCCATATCAAAAGATAGTTTATATATACATATATATATATATACTAGAGGGTTAAGTGTTTAGCATTACAAAAATTGAAAATTTAAATTTTAAAATTAATCCAATCAATTAAGCCAAACTCTTGTTTGTATCAAAAGATAGGTCTTGATCCCTCTTACATATTCACTTGCATAAATTCTGACTCTTTTGGACATCATGGTAAACACAAGCAACTTCAATCTTTGCTAATCAGTTTTGCTTAATTTTCAAGCGGCAGTTTTTTGAATAGGACAATTTCCCAATAACCATGCAACTCCCAAGGGGATTTCATTTTTTAAAATTTCTATTTTTATTTATATATTTTATCTTAAGAGAAAAACACCATTTAAAGAAGTATTTCAAGTAATAATTAAAAATTTTAAATTAATTTCTCAAAAAAATTTAAATTAAAAATTAAAAATTAAAAATAAATAAAAAATAAAAAATATTTTTTTATTATATAACTTATTATATATAATACAAAAAAAAATTAAAAGAGAAAAGCAGAGATCCCATGGAATCAGGGGCTAATAGTAGCTCACATTGCCCGTCAATATATGTTTTTTTTTTTTTTTTTTTAACATCATTGCCATACGTTGTATTGCTGATGCTTAAATATTGCATTGCCTGCCTAGGCAGATAGGGGTCTGCCAGAAAACTTGGGATGTGACATGCGACAGACACACTCAATTTTCTTGTACTGTCGAGGGTGAAAGTTTTTGTTCATCAGGTTCATGTCCGTTCATTGCATCATATTGTCTAGATTGCCTGTGCGTGGTTCTCGATAGCACAGTGTTAAGACCAAGTTGAAAGTATCATTTTGTACTTCGATTTTGATAAACCATTTTGCCCTTATTTTTAACCCTCCATGCTTTTCTCGCCGACCATATCCGCCATTAATTTTATGTGGTGGAGCCGTGGCTTCAGCGTGGATCCGAGTATCCAACTGCTATTCCGGCGGGCAGCAAACATTAACACATACAATGTGTTTGGTATGGGAAGGTTTTCTCTGCAAAGTTGGAAGGCAATTTGATATCTGCATTTTATTTTAGTGTAATAAAAATTAATTCTTTTTCATTTTAATTTTGTTATATATTTTGTTTAAAATTTGGATTTTTAATTTTATATAATCTGAGTTGTAAAATATTTTTTAATAAAATAAGTTTTTCTTATCTATTTATAAAGTAATAAAAATTCTACCAACTTTTTTACAGTGTTGAAATACACAGTAATTCTGTGACATAAGGATGAAGAAGGGGTATAGTGATGGCCAAACAATAGATTGTTCGGGTACACAAATTTTTAAATAATATCTTTTAAAATATTAATTTTATTTAGTTTAATTATCAAAAATATTAATAACCTTTTTTTTTTTTGAACGCAAGGGAAGCAATGCATTAAGAATTGCCATACGGCATCTACATCAAGGTCTTATCCAAAGGGATAAGAGTATCAGATAAAAAACGAACAAACTGGAGAAACAAGGCAAAGTAGACTCGATGCAGAGGAGGAAAGGAGGTGAAAACACTCGTGCAACCTGTGGTCGACCGATCCAGCTATGGGACACCTTTCAATCTACTCGGGAGAGAATGGCACCAAATCTCCAAGACACCACGGCAGGGATTCAAACCGACGGTGGCCAGATCTGGACAACCAACGAGCCCCTACACAAGAAAGAGTCAAGGGTCGTCGGAATTGTAAAAACAAGCTGTACAAGAACACAAAACAACACAAACAACCA